CATGTCCCCCCCCCCCCCCACGTACGAAGACGCCGGCTATTTCGAAATATCATAGAGGGGTGCCACCGTAGAAAAGGAAACCATCGTCCTCCTCGGAGAACCGCTCAACTCCCCTTTTCACCCCCGACATCGTGCGCATCGTCAACTAGGGCTGCCAAGCTCTTTCTCCGCGTATCGTATACTACCCCTCTCGTGAAAGCCTTTTCTAGATACCAATAATAGATTCGGGAACTTTCTCCAACGAGATGTCCCTTTGTTCCTTTGTCGTTGGTCAAACGTTGCTGAGGATGGGAGTACGAATCGTTCCTTTTTCTTTTTCTGCTTTCTCGCAGAGATGTTTCTAGAGATGTTCTTACTGTTAGCTGTATTTCTAGAAGTATTTCTAGTAGCATTTCCAGAAGAAGAAGTAATAGCGAGGTACTTTTAGTAATATCTCTAATTGTGTTTCCAGAAGAATAATTATGATGTTCTTGCTATTTCTAGAAATTTTTGTACGGATTAGATCGATGAGATGTACACAGTGTGCGTTACGTAGTCCCTAATAGGAACGATAGCGACGAGATAAAAAGAAACGACTGTTACCATTTCGCGTTCAAAGATTAAGTAAATTTCAGCGAGCTTTAATGCTATTTAACTATAACGGAAAAGTGTAATGCAAGTGCAAAGTGAGTCACGCAAGATTAGAAATCGTGATATTTTACAAGCTATTAACGTCGTAAAAAACAGTACGAGATGACGTAGATACAACGACGAATGAATAATGCATTTTTCAAATCTCGTTCACGATCGTGACCTTTGCAGCAATAAAGTGCCACGTTTATTATTTTTTTAACGAAGCGGCGCCGTTTCCGTAACTGAGTCGCGAGTAGCTTTAATAAACTAACGCAGTGAGTTTCCTTTCGTGCTTTCTAATTACAAATATGGCCAAATTGCAAATATCAAATTTATTGTTTTGTTTCATCATTATCACTATGTCATTCAATGGCTAACTATTTCTTTTAAAGAAGAATATGTACTTTGCACCCTTACATCCGGACGTTTTAGCTGTATCTTTTAGTTTTGAGAAATTACGTCTTTACTTTCTAGATAAAAATTTCAGTAATTCAATTATTTGACTAAATAAATCCAAGATGATTCCATTTTTTTACAGATATTACAGATATACACTTTCAATATTATGGCACAATAGAATTCATTTTTAAATTAAAGCGGCTGTGTACAAAATCTGCGTGCTTCATTTTGTAGAAAATTCCACGATAATTGCATTCGTTCAGAAATTAATGATATAACAATAGTTCGATCTCTATTCGGTGAGTTTGCAGTTGAAAAGAAAAAGATCTGGTGAAAAAGGATCCAATAGCAAGAGACTCACCAGCAAGGTCTTTGCTGACAAAAGAGACGAGATTTTCGAGACAACAGAGAGTCTCATTGGTCTATTTGAAAGCACGTTCGCGCAACCCAGTCGAGTTCAACGGAGGCGAAGCCATACCTGTGGATCGGTGCCTCGAAAGTTAAGGGTCCCGGTGCAGTTGATTAACGATGTGAGCGTCCAGGTCGAGGTGGGTGGCGCATGCCTTTGTGACAGCACGACCGCTCCTCCGCTCCTCGACATCGCCACCGTTGCTATCACGGATTATTATAACTCGTACGTTTCATCTGGTACCTCCATCGACCGGTAGACATCGACATGGTACCCGGCTATCGTCACGTCCGTTTGTCCACGCGTCTGGAGAAAAACGGCGCTACTCTTACGTTCTCTTCGAAATCGTCTTGAATTCGAGATTTCGTGAAGTATCGATAAGATATAGGTAACGGAACAGTTCACTGTGCACGCCTAACGATCTTCGTCGAGTTTGATCTTCGAACGAGACACGATGTGGGTCTTATAACAGTAAGCTTGATTATTCAGTGTAAATTTCAAAATTGAATTTTAATAGATACATTAAAGGTTAATTTACTCAAATAATAATTACTTAACTAACAACTGTGTTTCAATTCAGTCTTAAGGTTTTGTTTACGATTGTGTCAAGCAAATTCGATTCTGAACGAACATGTAAGTATGTAGCTATACCTGTATTATTTCAAATCGTGTTTCGACTGAGGAGCTTAATGAAATTTATAATGATTACGTAATTTCCACCTTCAGTTTTAGATTAATTCTGCACGAAGGTTCAAGCGTATTCACAACATCTTTTAAGAAATGATTTTTAAGCTACGTTTACGCGAAATTGCAATTCAGTGGTTGATTGAACGTGATATTGGACCTAGATCCGAGTCCAATTTCGCACAATGACTTTTAGAAAAGGATCGTACGTGTGGAAGGACACGAGGTCATCAGGAAAATTATAGCTTAGACTCGATGTCAGGGAACATTGCAACACAGCGATGTTTGATATTAATCATAACGGTATGTTCTCAGGGCATGTTCGAATATTCAGTAACTCGTAACTGTAGTTGCATCGGTGATGAATTGTATGTTTCCCTCGTGTGCCCGATGTATTCGCGAAATGGCTACAAAATAATTCAAAAATTCATTTCACGAAGTTCCTACACGAGTGTAATTCATTTATATTAGCGATTAATTGCACAAAACCTTCCTCCGAGTTGAGATATTAAATGTATTAACTAAAGGCAGTGTTATTTATAATTAAGAGAAACATCGATTAATTTCACGAGGACAAGTCTCAAATCGGCAAACTTTAATAAATCTTAATAGCAGATTTCAATTCCTACCGATTCAGACTGAAGACACTCAATATTACGAAATTCTAATGAAGCTGAAAAGTGAAAATTGAATATTGCGAAATTAATTAGAAAATTCAATGGATGAAATCATGAATAAAAGATATTCTCGATTAACTTTTCTCGAGAAAAGAAATCCGAAATAATTCTGTGAGCGGGGAATGCATCGAAGGAGATCAGTGGAAAGAACAGACGAAGGATCCATTTTGCGGAATGAATCGGGTCCAGCAACAACGGCGGGAGAGAGAGAAGAAGGAAGGAAGGCGGGTAAAAAGGATAAGGGTCGATCTGACGAGGGTATCTACCCTATATTGGCAGGCGTGGCTGTGGGTTGCAGGGTGCAAGAGGGTTTCGAGGGATCGCTGATTGGTTCTCCTCGAACGGAATCGACTGAAAGACAGAGAGGCGAAGAGAGAAGCTTCGTAAAACAGGAAGAGAGCGAGACGGGTAGACAAGGCTCGCGAACATGGGGCTCGTGAAGCTGAGTTGTCGAAGGGGTCGAAACCGAATACGTGCTACGACCGGGGTTGAAGGCTCCGCGAGACCCTTATCCACGTGGTCCCTTTAATAAAATGCGCATTTATACGAGCCTCTTGCGCACCGTTATTCGCTCGAATAGAATTTGCAACGAAGCTTAGTGGCTTAATTGAAATCAGTTCTCTGATTAAATACAGGGATGGATTTAATATTAATATAACGCGTAGCCTTGCGTCACGTAGAAAATTTCTTGTGACAAGAAAGATAAAAAAGGAGATAAAAAGTTGATACGTTACATTATATTTTTAATAACTAATAATATTTTAATACTTTTTAAAATGAAGATACTTGGTAGTAATTTAGAATTATGATACAAGACAAAGAGAAAAAGAATAAAACCGATCTCGCAAGTTCAGAGTGTTTAATATTTTAACGAACAATGCTTTTGAAATTTTACACAATGATTGATTTTAGAAATGTGAAAAATTTAACTACGAAAGCAAATAAAAAGATGAGACTGATTGACAATCTTGGTTTTTCTTTGTAATCTTCAGATGTAAAAATTCAAAAATAATCAGTCTGAATTTTAAGGAAAAACGGACAACAATTAAAAGAGATATATCTTTTTCTAGTTTTTCTTATCTTTCGAGGTATTCGTGGAGCCCACGGAAATAGCTTCGTTTGATAACGTCGTTCAAGAGAGGACTCGGAACGACCAAGTTCTACGAAGGACGGAGGGTGATTCAAGCGTTGCTGAGCTTCTCTGGATGGGTGATTGATTCGCTTTGAATGATTAAAGAACGCGGAAGAAGGGCGCTAGGAAGGGGGTACGGAATAATAGCGTTCGATAGACTCATCAAACTTTCTCGAGGAAACTTTAAAGAGTCCCGTCCAGCTCCGTAGTAAGAGTGGATGGATCATCGTGGTCGTCCTCGTTCGCTGTCGATCCTGGAAACGATCCATTCTGGAAATTGCAGAAACTTTTCGTCCTTTCCTTTTGCTTTCCATTTCCTTTCTTTTTCCATCGAAAAAGTTTCTTCTTCCATCGAAACTCTTAATCTTTCAATTGTAAATGTTTATACATTTATGGAAAATATCCAAAGTAAAGTACAAGATACAAAAAAATATTTATTTAAATTTTCTTTCCAAAGATACGAGCCTCCACTACTAAAACTTATTTATATTACGATCTACTGTTAATTTAATTTTTTAACTGTTTAACCAAGTTAATTTAATTTAAGTAGGTCAACTAATTTATCCTTTGATTCTAAGTTATATATTCAAAATCTAGCGTTACT